GTCGTACCTTTCAGGCACGCCGAAATGAAAGAGTCGACAGACTGGCCATATCTGCATTGGATGGTGAATGCGCTACATTCTAGCTACTATACAGTTTGTTTGTTATATTGATTTACTTTTCGTTCGGTTTTATATCTTTCCTAGATACTGTGATGAAATATTTTGGTCATATCAAGCGCCACGACGGATTGGAAAAAATTATAGCAGAAGGCATGGTACCAGGAAGGAGGGGCAGGGGCCGACCGACACGAAGATGGGCACAGGATAAATGTGACTCTTGGGTATGAAAGTGCATGAGGCGAGAGACCGAGTTTCTTTCAGACCGACCCTGATGAGAGCGACGTTCTGTAAAGGACCTGCTACATGATGATGATGATGAGAGATACTGTGAGGTAAAGGAATTGGGGACAATTAACTGCATGTTGGAAATGGGTATTCAACGAGGACAAGCATGCAGAAACCTGTCGCGGTGTAAAGAAAGAAGATCTGTCAGTCAACCCCTACTGGGCACGATGAGCCTGGAGACACGAAGATGGCTGCTGTACTGAAGGACGGTCCGGAGCAGGAATGGGTCTAACCGATGTTGCTAGGATGTCGATACGGACAAGCTAACTGCAGATGTCCACAGTGCGTGGTTACATTCATCTTTGTCACCGAGTATTTTGGTGTTGTTGGCTGCGTGTCTTTGCTGCTGCTGTCGTTTCTTCTTCGTCGTCTTCCTCCTCCTGCGGTTACATCAATGAAGTGTAAGGGACGGTTACTCTTTGTGCCATTTCATACCCGCCGTACAGAAGAGTGGATGCACAGCTACCTGATTCTACATCCTAAGCCAGGCAAGAATTCTTTAACGCTCAGCGGCTTTAGGGTCATTACCCTATAAAACACCTTTGGTAAAGGTTGGAGAAGATAGTGGCGGGAAAGCTACACTAAATTTTGGAACAGAGAAATGTCCTTCCACGAGGTTTGAAAAGTTACCGGCCAAGGAAGGGCACACAGAACAGACAGGAAACGGTGGCAGCGGCACTTGATTTAGAAGATGCTCACAACAAGGGCAGTATCTCGATGAAAGCATGGAGAAGGAAGTCTGTCATTGGTTGGTGAACTTATAGCAGATGTTTTGTATTCTCCCCGGGTAGTTCTCTGCCTGGGTTCATGGACCTCTGAACCATGTATTAAAGCTACACGACTACCACATGGATCTGCAATTTCACCTGTACTGTTCAATGTTTGCACGAGCAGGATTGCGGACCTGGAAACACATAGAGTTTACATAATATTATTTGCAGGTAAAATGCTCGTATATAGGAAGGGGAGAAATAGGAATCAAATAGCTCAAGATTTACAAGCAACAGCAGATAAGGAGATTGACTGCTGTACAGAGATGAGTGCTGTCATTAACTCAGAAAAGGCGGCCACCCTGTGATATTATTTAGACAACAGGAGAGTCTGTTTCCAGACTCATAATAAATGGCAGGGACATGAAAAGAGATAACATACTGCGGTACCTGGGTATCACCTTTGACAGAAGTTTGTCTTTCAAGGATCAAATAGAGGGGGTTGTGACAAAGGCTGCCGTGTGATGTTCTTTGGACAACAGGATTGTTAAAGCTGATGTTATACGCCTCAAAATACATGGCAGAGACAGACTACGGTATCTGGGAATCACCAAAGAGGCGGTTGACAAAAATGTCCTAATGCACTAAATATTATAGCAGCAATGGACATGGAGCAGAAAATGCAGTTCACACTTTACCAGCATTAAATTAATCATCTCAGTTATTGATTGTGGATTAGGGTTCATGTCTCGAAAAGTGAGCTAAAGAAATTGGAGCGCATACAGAATGAAGCTATGCGGGTGATTATGAGATGTACAAGAGACACCCCGATTGTGTGCATGCGATGTATCCTTGCATTGCTGACTTTTGCAGATATCTATAGATGCTGCAGGCTGAGTCATACCTCAGAGTAGCTGCAGACAACGAACACCCTTTGTATAAAGCTTTGGCTGCAGGTAAGGGTCAGAGGCTAAAAAGGGGAAAATTGTTTATGGCTCAAGCATAAGACACAAAAAGACAAGTATGCATGCTGGAGAACACTGGGCGAGAAGAGGAATGGGTCAGAGAACCAGAGGGAAAATGGCCTTTGTATGGTAACGATCATATTGGGCCAGCAGTGCAGAGGTTGGCCAGCTGGTGCTACGGAGGTGGAAATCCAGCAGTTGATTCACAACAATTCTGGCTCAGATTATCTGATTATTTATACAGATGATTCTGTGTTGAGAGCGAAGAGAAGTGCCTGGGGGGTTCGAGGCGAAAGCCAGTGGAAAATCTTTAGTGCAGGATAGCCTAGCATACGATACCACAACATCTAGCGTGCGAATGGAGGTGAAGGCGGTAACTACAGTTTTCAGGTGGCAAAGAGAACAAGATGCATATACATGTTGTAACAGATTCTGAAAACAAAGTGATGCTTCGAGTAGAGTGGCAAGCTTCACTAGGAAGGTCACGGGTAGGAAGCATACTTTGGATCTTTTCTCCAGGCTTTGCCGGCTTGGTGGGGAATGAAAAGGTGGACAGACTGGCTGGATCTGCACCACTGGATGGTGAACTGGTGCATGACAAAGCCGATGTGGTCAAAGCCCAATGGAAACAAGCAATTGGGTGAGAAGAGAAACAAGATTATTTTGGCCTGGAGAGAATGAGTCACCTGGGTGTAACCAGAGGGTCACGCCGGCTCACTACACTCAAAGGGAAGGTAAGACGGACATACAACCAGATGACTACCAGCACCATTAGTATTGGAACTCTGCCCTGGCTGCTAAAGATAAGGACGGTGTGTGCATAAGAATGCCATGAGTGCTGCAATGTCAATTCTTCATTCAACTTATCTCAGACCCGCCGTGTCTTTCCGTCAACTTTTAAAACATAACGGCTAACAGATTTGGCAACCTGGTCATAGTTTTGGCCACATTCAGAGGGAAAGCTGGCAGTGACGTTAGCAATGGCTGGATGGAGCTCTCCGAAACTAACTGTCCAACAAAGAATATTTACAATTTTCCTATAACTTGTAGGGAAAACTCGGAACTGTAAGGATTTGCGGAGGTAGTTATTCCCTCTACGAAAGTTACTAGTGCATACTATTTAGTTTTATTATGAAGTGAAGCACGTACTAAGGCATCATTTCAATTTTTCTTTAAACAGGTGACATAAAGTAATGAATATCAATATATAAAGAATGAGAACCCGTGCAGTGCTGAGTGCTGTTGAATATGTTCATCCTAAGGCCTCAGTCCTGTTATACTCAGGAGTCTTGTGTGTAAAGTTTTATGTAAACGTAAGACTAAAGCAGTTCTTCACAGTGATGGTAGAGAGTCCTAACATGGAAGATATATGCTATTGTGGCCTTACTACGTACTTCTCACTGCACTGACTTAGCAACCATTTAATTTATTGTTATGTATGTTTACAAGTTAGTTGCGTACCTTTACAGGACGTCGCAGAACCAACCCCAGCATTTTTTGACTGTTGTGGTTTTTTCTACGCTAATAAATTTACGCCTAGTAGTTGCCATTGTTTTCTGGTCGTCTGCTTCTCAATATCACTGTTGAAACCAGCGCAAGGTGCCAGCTCCGCAGCTGGGATCGAACCTGGCATTACAAAGTAATTGTTATGAACTTATGGGCTCTGCTCCAAACTTCATCCCCATATTATGGCGGCCAAACAAATATCCTAACAGGGCCTCAGTCGTGTGAAAATGCGGAGTGCCTGCCGAGAAACAAATCACGGTAAAACTAGGATTGCCTCCGAATAACAGGCCAATATTATCGAGGGCAAACACTCTAACAGGGTCTCCGCGATATGTTAATTGCGGACCTGTTTCTGCAACTGTGTCGCACCGCTGACAGTATCCCCCGGCGCAGATAGGGGGCTAAACTAGATGGCTGGCACTCACGAGCAGATAAATTGGAGGAAGTTGCAGGAGATGCGGTAGCTGCTGCTCGTGAGTCCCAGCCATCTAGTTTAGTCCCCCCATCCAGGCTGCACGAAACGGCGGGGGAGATACACTCGGCGGTGAGGTTTATTGCGCATGCCGAAAAGTGTGAGGACAACTACAAAGAGAAATACTTACCGATAACTAACGTTATTAAATGTGAAAGTTGTGGCACAGAAGTTGCAAATAGTGCCCAATGGTCAATGGTCGCTATTATTGTCTGCTACTATCGTCTGCAGTGTTGCGTTTCTTGAAATTGTCAAGTAATCCTAGTTTTGCTGCGATTTCTCACGAGCAGCAGCTACTGCATTTCTTGCAGCTGCCTTGATTTTATATGCTCGTGTGTCCCAGCCATCTAGTTTAACCCCAGTCCACGCGGCATGGGGGATACTCTCAGCGGTGGCGGTTTAGTCCCCGGAGGTTCGCAATTCAGCTGTGGCAGTATAGTCCCCGGAAGTGCGCAATTGACATGTGACTGAGGCCCTGTTAGAGTATATTTTCTGCCTCGATAATTTGGGACCGTTATTCGGAAGATAGCCAATATGTCATGTATTTTATGCTGAGAGATTAGGGAGTGAATGAAATAAATAATTTACTTACTAATAACAGTTATGGGAGCTTCTGTGGTGTAGCAGCCAGATGCTCGCCTAAAGGTCATGGGTTCATATACAGATGGAGCCAGACTTTAAAAAAATGACCTTAGATCTCAAGTTGATTTAAATGGGAACCTGGTAAAGTGCTGGGAAGTAAAGGCAGCCAGCATGATGTTAACCCCATCACCAACCTATTGCTGATTGGTCCATAAGATATAGGTCTAGATTTATCTGCTCAATAAAAACTGAAGGTGTGGAAAAGGGGCCTTTACTTTTACTTTTTTTTTTTTTTTTTCAAATAATCATACTAGTGTAGTGCATTTTGTCATGTGGCTATCGTTATCTTACCCTTGAATAATTGTGATTTCCATTGTTGCTCATATTTCAACATTTTTTTTGTTGTTTCCTAAATTACAGATACTCAACAAACTACTCATGGCCTAGAGATGGACATAAAACAGGAGCCTCAATCAGAGGTCAGTTTACAATAAGTGTATTTATTGTCCCTTATATATTTGTATATTTATTATGGGAAACTTTTTTTTTTTCGTTTTGGAAACGCTTTTATTGGTCAGTTCTGTATGAGTGTGTGTATTTACAAGTGTTGCCCTTTGTCAGTGTTTGTGTTCGTTGCTGTACAAAATCATATACATACATGTTAAACATACTATTAAAACAAGTTTTTAACATATTCTGTCTAACGAAGGGTTTGTTTATTTACATTGGGCGAATGTTGGGAGGGCCTGTTTCAGCTTTATGTCAAATGGAGTGGTCATAATTGCTTGTGCTGTATTTTCTATTATTTACATATTATACACATTCATTTGTGAACAATCTCACCTAAACATAGGATAGAGGTTTGAGGAAGGGATGAAGAAGTGAGAATTGTGTTTAAGAAGGATTTGATATAGGGAGGAAGAAAGAGAAGAAGAATTTTATGTAGTAGGGTCAGTGAATATTTTTGTTAACAGGCACTGGAAGTGATGCAGAAGTAAATTAGATTATAGAGGTATAGTTTTTGTCTTCATGCACTGCTTTACATCTGTATCTCCAGATCATCACTCTATATTCCGCCAATGCTGATAACACTTTTACATGACACTCTCTTGTTGTTTTTGGAATTGTGTTTAAGAATATTGCTTTGTAAATGTCTTCTTCTGTTGTTGTGTGCTTGTAGATGATGCTTTTGAGGTTTTGAAGTGTGGTCTGTATTTATGTACATTCATAAAATATGTGTTATGCTGTTTCTTGTATGTTGTTTGAGCACAGTTTGCATGATATTTTACATTTTTGAATTTTTGCTGTGCTTTCTTTTGTGGGAGTAAAATTAAAAAGAAATTTATATATTATTTCTTTTGCTACTGGTTTGATGTATGGTTGGTGTATGTTTACAAAAGACATGTAGTAATTTGTCCTAGTGTATCTTGTTCCTCGTTTGATTTTGGTGTACAATTTACTATGGGAAACTAGGCATGTGAAGCATGGTGTGATGTTATCTTTTATGAGGACTGGCATCTTCCAAGCACTCATCTTTCACACATCTATATTATAAATAACAAACCTTTTCTGTATTTTGTGTGTTCATTATATATTAACTGTCAGCTTCTCCCAGTCAGTGAACAATACACGGGTTAAATTTTCAGTTGCAATTATGGCTACAATGTTTAATTTAACAGATGCTTGCGGTCAGGTTATTGTGCATTTCTTTTATTTATTGCAAGTCAGTAAAAGTAAACTTTAGTTATATCCCTTTAAATATTTTTTTTACATTCCTTATTTTTTTTTTTTTTAATTACATTTTGTTGTTGTTTCCATTGAAACATAGACTGTAAGACAGGGGTGTTAGTGGAGGCTTGTGGTGGACTGCCAACATGCTGAATCTTAACCCCGGGTCACTCACTGAGTCACTGCCTCATCACCCCAAAGACAGGGGTGTTAGTGGAGACTTGGGGTGGACTGCCAACATGCCGAATCTTAACCCCGGGTCACTCTCTGAGTCACTGCCTCATCACCCCAAAGACGGGGGTGTTAGTGGAGACTTGGAGTGGACTGCCAACATGTTGAATCTTAACCCTGAGTCACCGAGTCACTGCCTCATCACCCCAAAGACAGGGGCGTTAGTGGAGACTTAGGGTGGACTGCCAACATGCCGAATCTTAACCCCGAGTCACTCACTGAGTCACTGCCTCATCACCCCAAAGACAGGGGTGTTAGTGGAGACTTGGGGTGGACTGCCAACATGCCCAATCTTAACCCTGAGTCACCGAGTCACTGCCCCATCACTCCATAGAAGTGCAAAGGTGGCGGTAGCGCTCCCTGTGAGAAGAATTGGTCAACCCCTATAGAAACAGATTAGTTTGTTAAATTGATTAGAAGGAATCAGATGTTCAAAATCAAGATTTTTTTGGTATTTCATGCAGAGAGATCATTTAAAAAAATTAGGGGCAACTGGAAACCAGCTGCACTACATACATGATTGTGATGAATAAATCTCTTGTAATTTCTAAATTCACACCATTTGTTGTTTTTTCAGGTGCCGTGTGAACCTCTCCGACACATGGTTGTTGACCAGACAGTTACAGCTGGGGTGAAGGTAGAAAAGCCTGATTTATCGATAAAGGTCGAAGGTGAGTTTGCTAAAGTAAAATGTTTCAACGCTATTTTCTTGAAACAAAGATTTATCATGTAGATGATTTTAGCAAGCAGTAATGATCAAGTCCAGTGGTCTTCAACTTTTTTTTAGGTCGTGCCCTCTCTTGAGCATATGGCAAGGACCCCTCCTCCACACACCCCTTATGTATATAGCAAGGATCTCTCCACCCACACACACACACTCTTGTGTATATAGCCCAGCCCTTCCCCACACTTCCCTTGTATATATAGCTAGACCCCCACCCACACACCCCTTGTGTATATAGCAAGACCCCCCCCCCCCCCCCCTTTTTTTTTTTCCAATAAGAAAAATGTAATTTGGAAAGAGCACAACAGGTTCCGCAATATTTTGTCAAAATGTGTTCCAATTAGGGCTGTACAGAATATTCGCTTCGGATTCGCTTTGGGGCCGAATAGTGGACCTAATAACTATTCAGTATTCGGCTGAATAGTTGCGGTCGGGCCTAATACGAATAGTGGTTACCTTACATCCGTTTCTAGACTGGTGGAAAATGAACAAATAGAAATTTCCCGCTTTGGTTCATACTGTCAAGCGTTATCTTTGTGCACCACCTACGAGCGTACCAAGTGAACGTTTGTTTGGTACAGCTGGAAATATCTTCAGTGAAACAAGAAGCTGCCTTAATGCTGACAACATGGAACGATTTTTTTTTAAAGCTAATGCTGCTTTAATGGATTAACTAAGCTGTCAGTGACAATTTACAAGTTTAGTTACTTGTTATAAAACTAAGAATACTTTAATTCCTAGGTATTAGTCACCACAGACTGACTGACTGAAGGATGCAAAACATGATGTTTTTAAATGTTTACTATTCTTTACTACATTTTGTGAAGTAAAATGTCAGCGTACATTTGACATTATGAATGATTTTTTTTAGATCTATTTTTATACACTATTCGAAAGTGGAAGAATGGCCTCAGTTTGAATAGTGGAAAGACAGAAGTAATAGTGGTATCAAAGAAAATAATTATTCCTAAATGTGTAATAAAAGTCAATGGTTTTATTTTGGGACTAGTACAGAAATTAAAGTATCTGGGCACATGGATAACATCAGATGGAAGATGCATTACTCAAATAAGAAACAGAATAGGGCTGGCAAAAACTGCATTTTATAAAATGAAGAACATCTTATGCAATATATCTTTGTCATTGAAGGTTAGAAAAAGATTGCTACATACATCCAGTTTTAACATATGGCTGTGAGTGCTGGGCAATCGGTAGGCAGTCCTCAGAGATGTGGTTTTACAGAAGAATGCTTAGAATACCCTGGACAGAAAACCAAGAAGTTTTGAAAGAGGCGGGAGCCTGAAAACAACTATGAAAGTGTGTCGTCACACGATCTAATACATGCTGCAGGGGATCGCAGAATGTGGCGATGCATAATCACGCATGCCAGTCGGCAAAGCACCTGATGATGATTCACTATTCGTATTTGGATTCGGCCGTATAGTTTGTCCATCTATTCGTATTCGGCCGAATAGTAAAAATCACTATTCGGTACAGCCCTAGTCCGATCTATAATTAAGTGCGTGCGTTATCATATTAATTAGATTTTTAACAGTAGATGTACAAACTGCTCATGAAAACAGAAATTACCTTGTTGTTTTCATAAATAGTTTTAAACAATATTTTGTTCATAGTTAAACTACAATTAATTGTTGTAAGTGTAGTGGATTATTACAAGTACAAATGTGCTCACTTTCAGACTTGCTTGATGTCCCCCTTGAAATGTCCTTGCCCCACCCCAGGTTGGAGAACACTGATCTAGCGCTCTTCTCCATCAGCCATCTCGTTTTCTTGGGTTCTTGGGCCCTATTTTGGAAGAAATTAATAGATCCACCGCCTCCCCAACAAGCATTTCAAAAAGACAACAAGTTAGGGGATTTTTTTCCTCCGAAATTGAAGTGCATCTGCCTGAGAAGCTAGAGGCCAACAGTCTGCATATAAATGTGTTAAATGGATGTGCTTGGAAAATTCAATGTCTAGAAGAAGACAAAAGTCCAGAAGTGGATGAACAACCAGAACTTTCTGCCAGTTTACTGCTATTGAAGGAAGGTTTGATTGTGACCTGAATTTTAAAATGTTAATTTCATATTTTCAGATTCCAGTTTTCTCCTGCCCGGCTGTGTAACTCCAATACTGAAGATGATGTTGGAGAAAAGGCTGTAGAAATGAATCAGCTCTCAGGATGTGAGAAACCAGAGGCTTGTCTCGTGGGTTCATCAACACCTCAAGTCCAGGTAGCCTCGGACCGTGGAGATACATGTTTGGTCCTGTCCGGAGATGATATTGAACAGAGACAAGCAGAAGTCACTGAGTCTGTCAGGGTCACAGAGCATCAGACCGTGACCGATTCCATGACAGATTCTCCTAATGATCGCAATGTGGATCTTCCTAACAAGAATATTGAAAAATTGTTGGACCAGAAATTGCCTGTTTTGAAAAATACAACAGTTCTGAGTGGAAAAGGATTCAGTTGTTCCTAGCAAAATAAAAGCACCAATCAAAAAGTCTGGGGATGAAAAACCTTATAAGTGTCACTTGTGTGATTGCAGCTTTAAGATCGGCTGTAATTTAAAGCACCACATCAGAGTACACACAGGAGAAAAGCCATACAAGTGTGATGTTTGTGGTCATTGTTTCAGAAACGGTGGTCATTTGCAGGTCCACAAACGAAAGCATACAGGAGAGAAACCATACAAATGTGATGTGTGCGGTTGTAGCTTTGCTGTAAAGGGTAGCTTGACAAACCACAAAAGAATACATACTGGAGAAAAGCCGTTCAAATGCGATGTCTGTGACTGTTCCTTTAAAACAAGGAATAATTTAAAGAGCCACAGAACAACACATACGGAAGAGAAACCTTACAAATGTGACATTTGCGGTTGTCTATTTAAAACCAATTATAATTTAACTAGACACGTAAGAATGCATACTGGAGAAACACCATACAGGTGTGATGTTTGTGGCCGTAACTTTACAGATGTTTCAAATTTAAATACACATGTACGCATACATACTGGAGAGAAGCCATATTTTTGTAACGTTTGTGGCCGTAACTTTAGATCCACTTTTGGTTTAAAAACCCATGAGAGAAAGCACACAGGAGAGAAACCATATCACTGTGATGTCTGTAACGAGTATTTTAGAAATAGCAGTCATTTACAGGCTCATCTGAGGAAACATACAGGAGAGAAACCATTCAAATGTGATCTATGTGATTGTAGCTTTGCAGTGAACAGTACCTTAACAATCCACAAAAGAATGCATACAGGGGAGAAGCCATACACCTGTGATGTCTGTGGGTCTTGCTTCAAGACCAATTATGTTTTAAAATGTCATAAAAGGACGCACACCGGCGATAAGCCCTATATGTGTGACATTTGTGGTTCTTCCTTCCAAGATACGAGTATGTTGAGATCCCACAGACGAACACATACAGGGGAAAAACCGTTTAAATGTGAAGTCTGCGGCTGTAGATTTAAAAATAATTATGGTTTAAAAAAACATGAGGCAATCCATTCAGGAGAAAAACCATACGCTTGTGATGTCTGTGAGAATAGTTTTGAAACTAGTTTTCATTTGGAAACCCACAAAACAACACATATGGAAGAAAAACCTTACACATGTGATGTTTGTGGCTGCTGTTTTGCTAGCAATGGTAGTTTAAATGACCACATAAGTGTACATGCGGAAGAAAAACCTTATGAATGTGATGTGTGTGGTTTTCGCTTTGCACTAGATTCTCATTTAGAAGACCACAAAAAAGTACACACGGGAGAAAAACCATTCAAATGTGAAGTGTGTGGTTCAAGTTTTGGAGAGCATAGTAGTTTGAAGAGACATCGGAGAATACACACAGGAGAGAAGCCATACGTGTGTGATATTTGCGGATATAGCTTTAGTGTGAACGATAGCTTAAAGAGACATTATAGAACACATACGGGGGAGAAGCCATACGCGTGTGACATTTGTGGTTGTAGCTTTCGGAACAGTACTAGCTTAAAGGCTCACCAAAGAGTCCACGCAGAAGAGACAACTGACAAGAGCGAGGGAGAAGGCCTAAACTTGACAGAAAGTATCTCAGAGGAAACATGGCAAGAGTAGGGAGGATATTCATAGACTGTGTATTTTTATTTGGGGAAATTGATAGAAGGTGTGTGCATGTATATTTGTTTGTTAACAGGTAACAATAGAGGAATGGGCGTGTATTTTAAAAAAAATTTATATCCATGGAAACTATGTGCTAGTGTCATTTTTCCCCCAGATATTTATAACAGATTTATGCCTGCATCTTTTAACGAAAAAAAAAGGTATTGATAGAAAGTGTGTGCTTGTGTATTTTGCAATGGATGTTGATAATTGACATGTTTTTTCATATATGTTGAGAGAATGTGTTAGCTTATGTTTTGTTAATGGATATTAATACGTGTGTACATTAATTTTTTTTTTTTTAAACAGATATTGATGGAAGATGTTTGCATTTTTTTTTACAGACATTGATCGAAAATAAGCATTTATTAACTGTTATGTTGTTTTACTAGGCAGTTTTATGTTGATTAAGTAGTTTGCCATTGCTTTCTAAGCTCTAGGACCCTCATACTGTTGTTAAAATCAGCAAAAAGCAGACTACTGCCAAATCGCCTGCAGCTGATTTATAGACAGCATTAACAGTGATGTGCCATCAGGAGCAATAAGTATGATTGTCATGATCAGGGGGTAAATGTGCAACTGCTGTCAAAGCACTAAACATGTGATTGTCATGATCAGGGGGTAAATGTGCCACTGCTGTCAAAGCACTAAACATGTGATTGTCATGATCAGGGGGTAAATGTGCAACTGCTGTCAAAGCACTAAACATGTGATTGTCATGATGTGCACAGAGGACACGTGAACCACCTAGAGTAAAAACACCTGACAGTGATAATTTTCCTTCTTGTGTGTCTGTTCTTA